TTTTGAAAATGATTTCATGTCAGAATTGAAAAGTCACTGTTTTTCCGATCTGCCTATAACTTCGCGGCCGTCAAACTATTCAAAACTTTTCACGGATGAGTACTATCAATCCAGGTATTTTCCGCGGACGGACACTATCCATCCGGGTATTTTCCGCGGGCGGGCACTATGGGCTGATAGTGTCTCTCCACAAATGAACACTATCACGTCACGTGATCGATTTAAACCAATAAGAACCGGAGAAAATTTAGTGGTGAACTATAATGTCGATTAGAGAAGGGTTTGCGTTCGAATTCCGCGTCAAAGCTTCCGCAAAGGGTGTTAGAATAGTCTACTTAAATTTGAAGTTCCGTAACGACAGCTACCTTCCTTTGAAGTCAGAGAACGAGTTTCTCCCAAACAGATGGATTTGGGCGAATTCGATCAATGAGCCGATGTTGTCTTTGTCGTATGACTATGAAATTTTGTCCAAGGGCCTCCTTAAATACCAACAAGTACTATGGATGCACTGTTGGAAGATCAACCAAGCGGATGCTTGGCGAACTTGAACTCGTCATGCCAAAACAAGGTAATAGCAAGAGCACTTCTAAATATGACACAGACTGAGTCAGGTGAACCTCCACGGAGAGATATTGTGTGTGTTGTGACGATTGTAGATTATTTTGATGACTTTTTATGGTGCTTCTTTGATGGAAATGTCAAATTCCAGTGTTGTGAAACGAAAAAAGTCTGCCTCAATTCAATGTGAGCTGAATGTTCAAGTTTGCGGTTGGTTCAAACCTTTTTATGGCATTCTCAACATTTTAACATTGCTGATGATGCTTTATTGTCCAGCGTTTCTCCTTTTCCTGCCAGATTTCATTTTCAATCTTCGAGAGGAGTGTGAAAGAGAGGAGCGACGCGAAGCCTCAACAAGTACCGATGCAGAAAATAACGATTCAGTTTCGCTATTGACTTTACCAATTCCTACTCAGAGTCAGCAAGCTAATTCCCAAATTATAAGAGAGGAGTGTCGCGAAAAGGAGCTACAATCAAGAGTCAACAAGAGTGGACTGACACATGAACAAAAAATCAGGTATGGATCAACTGATGCAGCTTCAGCAAATATGGATGCAGAAAATAACGATTCTGTTCCTCCTGTAACTGCAGCCACTCCGACTCAGAATCAGTAAGCTAATTCCCAAGTTAGCAAAGATGGATCAAAGAAACATATGTAAAGTTTACTTTATATAGACGAACTAACTCCATTTACCTTCTCCTATTTTCTCAGGACTCGAACCAAAAAATGTACATAACTATTTTCATTTCATTTCAAGTTTGCATTTCTCTGGTACTGTGTTATTCCAGTTTTCGTGCATATACGATTAGGATTAAACTATGTTGTAGAAAGTAAATTTATGGAGAAGGTGCATAAAAAAACAAATGCATCTCGGTAGGACCACTGTGTTCATCTGTTTTAGATTTTAAGGGTCCATTGAGCACACTTATGGCTCTCGCTCCTTTCATCATGATTTTATTCTCAGGTCCTAAGGATTTCCCTATTAATCACGGTCACCGACAATGAGGAAATTAGACCCGCCATATGCCTTATTTGCAGACGAAATACTACCTCAGTAGGAGAGGACATGATCCTACACTTAAGAAAATTAGCGTTAAACAGTTACAAGTTAGCTTCCTGTTTAATTGCCTTTCACCGAAAAGCATTCGCAAGGTGTCTAGAGTTCTTTACACATTGCTGTATTGAGAAAACGAGTGCTCCGTGGAAACGGGTTAAAACTCTTTTCATCGTTTTGTGGGTCTTACTCTGGGAATTCTTTTTAGTCGTAGTTGTTGGTGTCATTTTTGGAGGAATATCCCCCTTACTATTATTATTCGCGTCATTCTTGCTCATTATTGGTTGTTCACCGTTCATTTGTCTGCTTTTTTTTCTGGAAGGAAAGGCATGCAAATGCTCCGTAATGGAAGGATCCAAGAATGAATCCACGAAATACGCAAATTTGAATTCGAATTTGAATTTCGCACACAAATTGTTAAGGTAGGGGCCAGGTTCCTTCTTGTTGGATCTCTTCTATGTTGTTTTCTACTCATATCAGCATTATATGAAGACGCCTGCTTCGTGGGGGGCCTGTCTTCTCGATTTGTAAATCGCATCTTTGGTTTGGTAATTTCTGGGTTAGTGTTAAATGCTTCAGTCGTGGGTCCCTATGTGGCATTCTCTATCGTTGCTTCCACAAACATTTATCTTGGCTACTATGACCTTCAAATGCGCTACCAGGAGGTGAAGAAAATTATATCAGAGAATGGGTGCGGTGCAATTCCAGAAGATCTGTTTTGGCACATTTGCGGTGAAGCGTCGCATTCGAATCACAAAGTTCTACCAGTCAGACCTGAAGTATCTTCGCTCCGACGGAGGGCTAACGCTCGAAACGTCAGCTTTTGTAATCGTTACGGTGGCCAATTTACCATTTCAACTTTGTTGATATATCCAATTTAGACCTGAAGTATGCCGCATGCTTGGAAAAATAGCTATCATTTTGATATTTCTATTTTTGGTTTTCTGCTCTACGTTTCTTGTGATTGATGC